CATAGGCAACAGCTGTTCAGACTGGCATTCACAAAGATTCTGCTATGTTTTGTGAAAAATCGTGGCATTTTTAGTCGATCTCAAACCATTGGACCTTTGTCCAAAATACACCATCTCCAGCAGGTGTCTCTCTGTACAAAATATTTCTTCTTTAGTAATAATACAGTGAGTTGTTTAGCATCGTGGGAGGCAACAGTTTAGATTCCTTTGGCATATTTTAGCAAATATTCTGCATATTTGCTCATTTAGAAACATCACCAATTGTTTTATTTTTTTTCCTGAGGAGGAATGCAAAACTTAGCAAGTCAACAGTGAACATCTGAAAGATCTTTTAAAAAATCTTTAAAAAGCAAAACTTTTCTAAATAAATTATTTGCATGTTTATTATTGTAAACAGTCTGAAGTACTGAAGTGTACATTTTTTGATTTCCAGATAAAACATAACTTACACAGTTCAGACAAACTAGTTGTTTAGTCTCAGTTAGCACTGTAATCCTCCACCTGTTTGAGAAAACACATACACAGATATTTTGCCACATAATCCTACATCTATAGGTAGAAAGAGAAACAGGGAACTGGTAAAAGCATTTGTGCTTTTTGCAAACCTGAAATGCCAGAAATACTGATCAGCTGAATCCCACTTCAGCTAGGTAAATGATTATGCCTGATATTTGACTTTGCTTAGTCTTGTTTTTCTACTGTTACTATTGAAAGAAAGGTTTATTACTGGCTTTCTCAAAACAATTTAACTTTTTCTTTATTTATAGTGAATTTCTTTCAGATTGTTTTTTCAACTTCTTCCTTTTTGCTTTGATAGATCAGGGGGCTGGTAAAATAACATTCTTCATGAACAAGTATTTCCTTATGCCTCCATACAGAGATGTTGGTACACATCCATGTGAGCAGCATTTATGCAGCACAAAGGAGTCTGCTTTACAGACCAAATACTTGTGGAATTACTCTTTAATGTGACCTTTCTTCTTGTGACAAGGGCACAAAGCACTTCACATGGGGCACCAACCTCTGCATAGAAAAGTTATAATATACATGTTATAACAAGAATAACTTCTAACTTAAAAGCAACATTGAGATCAGTGTTCACCTTCTGAGAGGTTTTTCTTGTTACTTCTAGCAAGCTCTGGGGTTTTTTTAAGACAGAGGAGGAAAGGATAGCTTGTAGTTGGAAATGCTGCATACTCAAAATAACTTAAAATTTATAGAAAAATAAACACACCTTGCCAAATGGTTTAGATAGGATCACTCTGAACAGGATTATTTGTGCCTCCTGGTCTGTGCAAGGCAGGTCTCTGCTTCAGCCTCCTGCTCCAAGCAGAGCTGACTTCAAAGATGGATCACATTGCCCAGGACCTTTTTGAGCTCTCTCTGTCTGCAGGGTGGAAATTCTTCCATCGCCTCTCTGGGCCTGTTTCACTGCTTAACCACTGCTACCGTGAAGTTTTCATCTAGTCAGCATTTCCCTTGCTGGAACTTGTGACTGTTGCTTCTTGTTGCTTTGTAATGCACCTCTGAGACGTCTGACTTGTTTATACCAGCAATGTAATTTTGCTTGTTCTGTCACCCATCCATTTTCCTTGAGATGAGCTGTGCTTTTGGTAGCATGTGTTTTTGTAGATAGTACGAGCTGCTTCATGTTCTGGAAAACTGCAAATCCAAGCTCCGTAATATTAATACTTCATCTACTTGCTGTCATATTATTCTCCTTTTGCCCTGTTTACCTGACATTTTTACATGCAATGTTCGTTTAGAAATCAAATTTTGCTAGATCCTTGATTTTATAAATGGATTTTCAAACAAGTAGAGGACATTTATTCTCTTCATTGAACTTAGCTAGTATTTGTTCCTCTGAAAGTCTCTCTCACTTAGACATCATCCAAAGAATCACCCTAATGCATATGCCTACAGAGCTGTGGACTGCCCCTGAATTAGGGATAACCAATTTTGAGGATGAGAGAGATTACCTTGCCAACAAGAACACTCAGTCTCTCTCTAAGAAACCTGAATGGTTATTACATGGAGACAAAGTGCTTTTACCAGCTTTAATATTTGAATTGGGAATATTCTGCATGTGCTGCTTACAAAGTGAGATCAGATGCAACAGGCCAGAGACCTTCAGTACAACGTGCTGAAGTAGGTTGCCGCTTCACCTCAAACCACAGTGTATCGACAAAGAAAATGTGATACTTAAGCTTCACCATCTCTCTTTTTAATTCTTCCTGTAAGTCAAAGCTAAGTTTTCAATTCTGAGTTTGATCTTTGTGGGTGTTTTTTGGACTGGCTGTTTGAAGCTGTTCCAGCTGACCATAACCTGAACTGTGCTCATAAAACTTCCACAGGTAGAAGTTGCGCAGTTTAAGAATAAAGTCTCATTCCTCAAAAGGGGATTCTGCGATGAAGCGTAGCATTAGCTGAATCTGCTCTTGCTTTCTAAAATATCCCTACAACCTGTTTTTGTTTGTTTGGTGAGGTTTGCGGTTGGTCAGAAAATGAGAAAAGAATCAAAGTTCCAGTAGTGGTGGGACAGAAAGACTGCCAAAGTATTACGTCCCTAAGAAACCAGGCACAAACAGACCATTAGTTTTTCAAAGTTCGTCTTCTTGGCTATCACAGTAGTCTCTGCTGCATGTGTTGCTGGAGGGGTCATGGGCGTGTGTAAGGAAGAACAGGATTCTTTAGTATGCCTCTAAGTGGTCTATTTCATCTGTAGGGTACTATGGTTGGAGGCTCTTTCAAAACAAAGCATCAGTTTTACATGACAGAACAGCAGAAGATGTAGTCCTTTGTTCCAAAATGTCTTCATGGTTGAGCACGTGTGGTTATAGCTGAAGTTTGGATATTGTGAAAACCTTTTGTAAAACCTGGCAGAGGGGAGGGAGGTACCAGACACTGCTCTCAGCCTTCACCAAAGTAAGCAGCTCTGGATTTTCTACAAACAATAGGGCCAAGAGGAAACACAAAAGACTAGGCTAACCTGGGTTACTTTGTGCGTGACTTTCACAGGCTCTGGTAGTCCCAGATTCAGTACCAGTCATTCCTTCTATAAATATACAGAATAAATCATGCCACAATAGAGTGCTGAAAATCTCTGCTCTGACTCATTAAAGTTTCTATCTGCAGTGAAACAGTTACAAGTTCTAAGAGAGTCTTTGCTTCATTGCACTTCTCAGTATACTTAAAAAATGCTAGGTAAGGGACTCTGTCAGTGTGTAACCCTGAAAACATGGGAGCTACTCTCATGTAGAGTATTTGGATAGACATCACAATCTAAGCAGTGGATTGCCAGTTTGGGCAATCTAACACTAGATTAAATATCAAAAGCCACAAATCTTTCTAAGATTGTGAAAGCACCATTAGGCTTCTAATCCTATAGTGAAAGAAGCCTGATTTTAAAAACATTATCAGAAATCAAAAGAAGTCTACATTAATTTACTCTAGGAATTACAGAAACGTTCAACAGAATACAATATTATTAAAGAATTGAGCTTAGTACTTCTCCAAATCCACGCTTCAGTTACATTAACAATTATATTGTTTCCTTTTGAAGTACTAGTTTTCTGTGCCCATAAAATTACACCAAGAGCTGCAAAGTGACAAAAGCTGTAGTTCTGTCTTACAGTGAGCTAAGCTCTAATAATACCTAACATGATTTGCTCACAGAAATATTAAAATAAGCAATAAGTTGGATGTTTGGCACAGACTCCTAGATATGGACCATATAAATGCTATGCTGTTTGGTATTTTACTAGTCTTGCTATATATACCTCTTCTTATTCTTGGTTTATGCAAACTACTGCAATCCAGCAAATGACTTGGAACTGAGTCAAAGAGCAAAGGACAGTGGCATTCCTTCCAAAGGCATTCTTTTTTCTCCTTGTTTTGGAAGTTAAACTTTCAAGTTGATGATGACATTTTTAATACTGAGTATGCAGTTGAATCTATCATTCAGAGTCATTTAAAAATGCCATAAATAATAACAAATAAGCAACTTTGGGTATATTTCAAACCAACAAAGTTGACAACTGTTTTAATATTCCTGGACACACCGGATTTAATTAGACTTTTTTTTTTTTTTTAAATCAGATCCCACCACCAACATGGCAATAGTTGTGCTCACATTCCCAGGAACTGAAACAAACAAATATGGGTAGAAAAAACCCCAACCATTAAAACTGAAAAAGCATTTTGAATTTCTATCTCTATGATATCTAAAAAAATACAGTAAAAGTATATGTAGTTTTATTCTGAATCAAAATTGCTAGCCTTCTAATGGTGATACTTCAACACTTCCGTCAAAAGGAATTTCCTGTTTGTTCCAAGAATAATTAAGAGATGGGTATATTGGGAAAAAAACAAGGCAGAACTAGTTGCTTTTACTCCATAAAAAGAGTTGGGAGGAAGGAAGACATTAGTCAAGAAGAACACTGCAAGAGCATTGCAGGAGTTAGTTATCTAGGAATTAAAAAACCCCTAATACATTCTACACAATCTGTTCTGCGAGGTTTTGTCTTTGTTTAGAATACTCACCTAATTTCTGTGACTTTCCAGGAGATAAAAAGCGAATATATGTCCTTTCCTAAATTGAATCTGTCGTGCCATTAACCTTTTGGACTATTTCAAATAATCACATAATGGGACAGTACTCACTTTTATGAATGGTAATCGTGGAGCTTTCAACCGAAGTTAACTTTTAGAGGTTATTACTACAAATATTATATAATGCCTTGGTGCTTTAGAGTTCTATATATCACCATTAAAAAACAAACAAACAAACAAATACAATTGCTTTTGCAAACTTGTCCAGAAAATGCTAAATGCACACTTTGCTTTTTTTGAATCTTCTTTAGCATCTAGATAAGATGATGTATCTTTGGTTTACAAAAGCTAAGAACATTGCCCTTTTACATTATGTACATTGTTCACATGTCCAGGGGTTGCTATGGGTGACCCACAGTAAGCAATAAACGGACAAAACACAGAAAGACAGAATATTTAAAGTTTTAATCCAACAAATGAAGAGGGTCTTAACACTGTAAAATACCATTGTATTGCTAATGCTGTAGAATTGTACATTAAAAACAGTAGTCTATAGATGTAAAAATAGCAAGTTTATGATACAGTAAAACACAGTATAGAAACCATTTAAAATTAAGTAGAAACCTCTTAAACAATTGAGGCATTAATCTAAGTGTTTCTCCAAATGTATTAAATAAAACACAGTTAATACTGACTCTAAACATCCCGCCCCATCTTCCCCACTCCCCGCCCTAATTAAACTCATTAGAAAAAACAGTAGTCTCAGTCACTATGTTTTGCATTCTTTCAGAATCATTTAGATTCTCCATTTTCTTCAAGTACAGTAGAACAACTCTTCACAACACAGTACTACCCCGAAGTAATTTTTTTCCCAACGCTTTATAATTTTGGAAGTAAGTATTTAAGATTAATTTTGAAGCTAGAAGAGGCTCAAGGAAGTCTGCAGGATGGCAATTAAATTTTCAATGCAAATTATTTACACAAACATTAGTGTACTGTAATTACAGCATAGAACTGGCAACATAGCTGATGGGTGCTTTTAACAAAAGCTCCAAATGAAAGAAAGGGAAGAAAAACAGATTACAAAATAAATAATCTAAAGTTCTTCATGGTAGAAGCGTTCATCATGAAGCTGCCTACCATAATCCGTTGCTTCACTGTTGAGAAACAAATCCTGGTTCTTAAGAATTTCTGCTTCAGAAAGCTTTTTATCGTCATTCAAATCCATTTCTTCAATAAGGTGAAGAGCCTTTAAAATAAATGGAACACCATGTGCACAGTTAATAGATACGAGCATTTATAAATAATGCTTTTGGAATAGCTTTGTCAAAGTCCTGCCACAACACCATTATTTGTAACAAGCTAGACAACATATTACATTCAGAACAGAGCCTTTCTTTCCTCAGTTTGCTTCTCTTCGCCTCTTTTATTTGGTGGCAAAATCATAATATCAAATCTCTACCCTCACTATCAATTCTAAAGCAACAAATCAATGTCAAACCCACAGCTTTACTTTGAGGGCAGAAGATGGCACTAAACCAGCAAAGATTAGCCATCTTTCTGGAAGCACCCATAGTCCTTGAAATCCTCGGGCGAGTGCAGTACACGCCTTTAGTGTATGACCTGCAGAAAATGCAAGCTTAGCATGTCAGCTAGAGACCCTGTGTTCAGGGAGCCCTTCTGGATATCCAGGCACTGAATGACAGCTACAACAGCAAGTCCTCAATGTGTGGGACCTCAACTAGGATTTAAGCCAATACAGTCTTCAAGTTGAGCATCCTCTTTCAGAAGTGTGCGCTGATTATCTCAGTCACATATTTACCCTGTGTCTGACAAGAGAAGCATCATTTACAGCTCTCAGGTTAAGCTGTAGGCATGCTTGCTTTCAACTCTGGAGGGGTCTACTGTGCTAAGCCATTTTTTATTTCCTGAACCTGTGGAGACTCACTTTCTCCTTCAACAGTGGACAAGATAAGCCATCTAGGCATAGGAACTTCAACTTTGCGTAGCAATTCATATTTTCCTTCATTTCCTGAAAGCAAAAACTTGCTTTTCTCAAAAAACTTTTAAATACTAAATCATGACAATGTCAAATGAAACTGCAAATTAAAACAGTTATCAGATTTTTGCTTATTTATATATCATAAAAGGAGGGAAGTTCAGCAGTAAAACAAAAAAACAATTGCAGAGTATTTTACTTGTAGCTTATTCACAAGTGTTACGTAGCTCAAAGCTAACAAGCTAGTACAGCAGCTCTACTGCACCTATTGCTTCTGAGAAATAGAGGAGCCCAAGTATTACATGGGTTTTTTGGTTTTATTTGCTAAACATCTACAAATACAGTGATTTAGAGAATCCTTCTGTTCCTACTTTTTCTGATCAATTTGGCTCAATGTAACTGTTAAGTGACTTTTTAAAAAATTAAATATTACTTACAACTAAGCTGACTACCTCACCAAAAAGGACTGAAGAAAATAACAGGAGCTAATGTTAGCCAAGCAGATTTTAAAAGCACTCTGCATGGCAGAAGCTAAAAGATTATTAAGACAAACATCTTGGTAAATACATATAAATTCCTGGAAATGGAATGTATAGTAATTTTTCTATTTTTATGTTATTTAGCTACCAGGTTTCTCAAGTCATTTTGAAATGCCAAAATGAAACTGCAATAATCAGCTTTCAAACAGCAGTTTATGACTTAACTCAATGCTACCTTCTCTTTAGGATAGTGACTTTGCTAAGACCTTACATTACCTGAAGGAAAAAAATAGCACATTAGAGAAACAGAAAAAAAAGATTTTTTGCAGAACTGAGCTACTGCTACAGCATGGCCTTGCTGTAAGCTAAGATTTGAATGAATAGCGAAGAACTGCTAAAAAAACCCCAAACCCAACCAAGCAAACCAACACAGGTATGGTTAAACTCAACACCACACAGAATTCAAGTCAGTTAGAACAGTATTGTTTCCGTGAAATAAGAACCAACCACCCTCAAGAGTCAGATGTTAAACAAGGTCTGTGCAAAGGCTTACAGATCCACATTTACAAAAATACTGCTAGAGCAATTTAACAACTTAGTTTCCTACAACGATAGATACGTGAGTACCTAGTGCTGTGTGCTAGCCACATTGCTTTTTCTGTCACCAACAGAGCTGAAAAAGGAAGAGGTGGGACCTCAGTAACGAGACGGTCCAACCCAGTAGCTGGACTATGCTGTTTGACACAAAGCATGTCCTGTCTTTACCAGGAATTATGGAGGCATGGGAAGACCTGTTGTTCCTGCCATTCTGAACACCAAAATCCTCCAGTGCAAAGGAAAGAGACTTGGACAAATTAAGATAAAAAGTTACTAGCGGAAAGACAGAAATCCTCTCTACTGCAGTCGGCAACTGTAAAGTCTGCTTACTAAAATAGGTTGTTCCGGAACACTCAGCGCTTCTACTGCCTGCTACAAAAAAATAAAGACAGCTAAAATGAGAATCCACTTAAACCTATTATGCTGTTCTACCTCTGATTAAATCATTTTAATTATCATCAAATGCTGTTTGCATTACAGCATCTTGAACCATAGAATACTTCCATTTTCTCGTACTTACAGAAAGACAAGTTTTTAGTTCTACAAATTATGGTGATTTATACAGTTAGAAGAATCACAATCAATTTTTGTTTTCAAAATTACGCTGTCAGTATATACCAGCTTCTTTTAGTAGTATATCTCATTAGATTTACTTAAAATAACTAAAAAATAACTTATTAAAATACTGTACCCTTAAGTCCAACCAAGTAAGCTATTTAAACATGTAGAAAGGCACTTCGTTAATTTACAAACACTCATACAATTAATAGGAACTTCACATTTGCCTAATGCAGTTAAGGGACCTGCACTCTTTTTACAAACTGAAAAAAGGTTAAAAATACATGCAAAGATCTACTAAGCATTCTTTTTCAACTAAGACATGATAAATCTGAATGCATCTATTCAAATTCAAAATTCTACCACATTAATTAAAATCTAAATAGCAGTCAAAACACATACCTCCTCTTGTGCAATACCTTGATTATTAGGTACTATCCAAGACAAGAGCTCTTGAGGGTCGAGTTTTCCGTCACTATCCTTGTCATAGTCATTCACAAACCGATCCTTCTCAACAAGTATCCACTCTGGATCTTCCCTTGCAGCTAGTAAGACACATTTGTCAAGTTTAAAGCCACTCTTTACCTTAAAGCAGATGTTTTCACCTTTTGTCCTAAGCAAATTCACTTAATCTCATAAAACATAACACATAAGTGATTTCACTTAACAAAGACAAGACTTACAGACCAGTCCCAATAGATTAAATAAATGCATCTGTCTACACATTAAAAAAATACTTGTATAGAATAAAACAGCATTTAAAGCTAAGGTAATATTAAGATTGTAAATTTACAGTTGAACTAAGCAGATGTTAAAGTCAAAGTTTACCACCAACTGAACTGTTCACTTTACATCTCCACAATTACCCAAATTGATAGTGGAGAAAGCATACATTATATTGAATGTGCTGCCAAGCAGATGGTTTCCTACTTATTGGGACAGCTGACATATCAGTAGGAAAACATTAAAGTGGATAAAAGAGATATCTTACATTTGCAGTATTTACCTTGAGTGACTTAAGATTACTCTCTCCCATTAATGTATAGCAATCATGTTGCAGACACCATGTTGAGAGTATCACATGACAGCAATATAAGCAATACTACAGGCCTCAGACATTGGTCATCTCAGCACTTAACGGACGGAGGAAAGTAGGGAAAAGCTTTAAATCAACAAGCGTCCCGAGGAGTAGGTAGATAAATAGTGTTTTGCAGTATATAAAACTGATAACATGTATTATAAAAGAACAAAGAGTGAAGTCCCTCTCTTTCCTTTCCAACACCTTCTTTTGCAAGTAGATTATCCCTTCATGTCACAATTCATCATGCACTGTTGCCCAAAACCACAAAACAGTTATGAAACTACACCCACCATGTAGTTTATTTAAACTGTGCTGCAGGAACACTGTCTGCAGAGGAGATGGGCATTTGGAGAAGCTGAAGTAGTTTCTACAATTATAGCTGATTCTGAATTCTTGCTAAAGTTTTAATGACAAAGCTGTTATCTTCTCTGTTAACTGCAAGGACCCTAGCAACAACTTCACTCCTTTCCAACAGCTTCGGACAGACTGGCTTGGAAAAGCTTTTTTTATGTCAGAGCAGGAAAATGATAAAGAATCCTGTAGTTGCATCAGAGATCTATTGTTTTAACTGGCTCTGGCAAACAAGATGGTTATACAAGGGGAAATGTCAGGTGGTTGACTGGAGTGAAGAAAAACTGACTATTCCCCTATTTCTCCATATCCTTATGTGGCTTAAACATTTTCTCCAGCTAGGATGCTAGCCCATGCTTAAGAATTAGCATTCCTTAGGACCAAGCAGACTCTCCACATGCCTCAAGCTACTGGTTTTTCTGAACTGGAGGAGTTATTTGCCCTACCGTGTAGCAAATCAAATACAGCGTATAAAATATTTATCTATTAGCAACATAGCTAGAGAAAAGTATTGCTAAACACTAGGTAAGAGTCCTTTTTCTTGTTAAAGAAGGAATACATCAAGCTTAAGGAAGGGCGAGAGTGGGAAAAAAAATAAAAGTGAAAGCAGATAGGCTTTTGATATCTGGTACAGTGAACAGACTCCTTACACTTCCCCTCCGACTCTCTTAAAACACACACAGCTTCAACCCTTCTAAAGCAAGGCTGACAGCTGCCACCTTAAGCTGATAAAGACCAGGGAAGTTTAACCTTACATTCATGCTGGCTGGTTTCGCAGATGCGTTCAGTTAGCAAAACTACATCTTATTTCAGCTGCATATCTAGCTATGAGGAATATGCTTCAGTCTTCAGGAAAACAAGAAGTAACTTGCAAGGAAACAGTGGGATGGGCTATATACAAACTACTGCCAAATACATACAGGGCAGACTGAAATAATAACCTACTATGCCCAGTACCATGAAACTGAATTATTCTAAAAGACAGGATAATGTTATTCAGAATCTGTAGGTGGAGGTGTAAAAAGCTGAGAATAAAGGTGCATACAATCCATCCCATTCCAAAAGCTTCTGTTCAGTTCCTTCTTTCATACCCCCACCCTTTTTCCTTACTTGGGTCTCTTCTGTAATCACCAAGGAATTCTTCCAGGCTAACAAATCCATCACCGTCTTTATCATGTTCTTCTAAAGCCTCCTGAATGACAAAGTCCTTTTGTATACATAGAAAAAGCAAAATATCAATTTGTGAAAAATTAGCAACTTTTAATCAAGAGAATCAGCAATAAATAATTTTAGAGTAAGAAGGTATCCTTTAAAGTAAAGACTCCCTCATTTCAAATCTGCTTTTCCATTTTAATGCAGATTAGTGCATTAATTGGTTCCTGTGCAACAGAACAGATCTGTTCTTAAGAGTTTAGGATGTCAGGTTTTATGAAAACCAAATCCAAAAGGTGTACCTAGGGTTGGAATCCTTCAACGTAATTCAAAACTACAAAAATAGCTGAGAAACATTAATTTCTACAAAGCTGTATCATCTCATTTAACTCTTCTTTTTCCATGTGATGTATTCATTAATTTGCATTTTTGTAACTTTATGAAATTGTCAGGAAAACTGGTTGGTCTTTTGGTCCTGTGTTTCCCAGTGAAGCCAGTCTGCCTGTTCTCCTAGTTCTGTCTTGTCTTGTTTGTCCATAATAAACAGTTATGTCAACACAAATAGAGGCTGTTTGCATGGCACTCCTCCTGGCAGTTGGCTCTGCAGCATCAGACAGCCAAAACTGAAGGCTCTATTGCAGAAAAGCACCAATGTACTTTTAACTGGGGTCAACTGTCGATACTGAGCTGGAATGACACCCACAGTCACAGCAGTGAGGAAACAGATGCCCAACGGCAAAGTGCTCCTGGCTGAAATAATAATCTCCCAAGCTCTGACCACAGTACAGTCAGTATTAAAGCTTCAGACAGGCTTGAATGCTCTTTTTCGGCCAGAAACGTGACTCTTGTGTCCCTTTAAGCAAAGTGAGAGTAATCGGCACATGACCTTTTCCTGTGCAAAATCTTTCCTGTAAGTCCCCCTAACTAGAATTGAACTCTGAACTAGGCATGAAACTTCCTCAAGCTAAAATCTCACTGATCTATTTCCAACCTAACAGAGTTTAGAGACAGATACGTCAGTCCAATCCCAAAAATTTGGGATAGTTGTGCAATACTATTCCTGAAACAGATTTCAAAGAAAAACACTGAACCACTGCTCCAGCTCCTGACCTCCAGCACTGGATCCACAACACATCATCTGCTTTTTAATTTGGTCTGTAAAAGCAATACTCAGAACTGCTCAAAAGCACACTTCCTGTAGTACTGGGGCTAAGCACATGCATTAAAAAGATGTTGCATCTATATACACAGGCTGATACTCTCCTAAATCTTACCGTCATATACTCCACTTCCTCAGGATGTTCAAAAGCAACAAATTCATCCACATTTAGATCAGGAACATCATCTCTATTAGCTTTTTCAAAACGCTTTTTCTCCTTTAAATGAAGCTTAGAAAATAGATTTAGTTAGAGCACTTAATGAAAAGGAAAAACATTATAGTAGCTGGCTGTAGGCTCATTAGAATATTAATTGTTTCATGTTATGTACTCATATTATACTGATGTTATATTTTCTCTAAAAAGAGCTCATCCAGAGCAATGAGAACAGCACTTTTAATTGAGGTAGTTTTACTCTAAGAATCACATAAAAACTTCCTTATTATTTCAATTTAAGGAGACATTTAAAACATACTCTTAGCCAAGGCTTCAAAAACACAAAAGGGAGAGAATGAAAAGACCAAGAATTATCTTGTCTTTATACAGGCTTCCTCTTCTAAAAGTCACCAATTCCCAAACTAGGTTTAGTGGAGTACAATGATTATAATTAATGGTAGCCATTGCAAATTCCAAAATTTACATTTGAAGGACATTTAACCTTCTGGATCTATATCTCATTTATATCAAGGGCTGTTTGTAGTTCAAAGAAGGTCTTGAAAGAAATATCATGTACGTAAAATGTCTTTTCTGAAGCCATTTTAAGTGCTGAAGGATTAGACAGATTCCTTTAATACAAGACTGTTGCCCATTACACCTGAACATATTTTAAAGCAAAGGCACTTCTCTCACCCATTTTAAGTATAAATATTAGCATGCCTTTTAAAAATAAATAAGATCCACAATAAGCAGGGAAGTTCTTATTTCTGAATGTCTTGCACTTCCTGTTTCCATATTCCAAATGTGCAAAAATTTTATATTTTTTTTCTCATTTAATTTCATACAGTCTCTTTAGACAAAATAAAGACCCACACCATTGATAACTGATCTCTACTCAAACTGCATGTGATGTGAGCTATACAAATTCTGGAATCCCATGATTAAGTGTGTCGTGCTACCAGTGTAACTCTGATCTGGATAAGAGAGTGGCCAGCAAACCAGAGATCACAAATACTTTAAAAATAACCATTTGAAATTGTACTTCCTCGTTTATATCCTATTTAGTGACACTTCTTTCAAAATTAGGCTAACCTGATTAATACAGAGCATAACATGTAACAAATAAACGTATAAGATCTTAACTATTCTGCAAAATAATTAAATGTACTCTTAAAGAAAAGCTGACCTTAGCTGAGAGTTTAAATAGGAAGGCAATTCAGAAGGACTGACTACAGAAAGGACTGGACTGCAACATAAACTTGAACTATTGAGGGGGAAAATCTATTTTTCAGTGGTTTTTTGAGAAGTGATGAACAAGGCTGCCACCTTCTGGTAAATTCATATGTTTACTGATGTCAATTCTAAATCAATATGATAGTCTAACTCTTCCATTTTGACTAGAGCAAGATCACCAATTTCCAAACATAAGGAAAATGCTAAAGAAGGCTGTCATATGATGCTTGTACAATGCTGCTAATTTTGCTCTTTACAATATATGTTGAAGTAGTCAGCAAGCAGGAAAACCTAGCAAGCAGTCAAACAAAGCATAGCATAAGTAAGTAAGTAGGAGTTCTAACCCGGCATATATACCTATGATGGCAATATCTCAAACATGGGATCAATATTTTGACTGGTAGGTCCATGTAAAGTCTTGTTTTATTTAAAAACTATATAATTATTCAGTTAAGTGACCTCCAAAGCTTTACAGTTTGTTTCTTCAGTGTGTAAAATCCCCTGCCCATTGTCTATTTTAGCTTCACTTCTGTCAACATCCTGTATTATCTACTACTACTTTATTAAAAGCAGCCACAGCAATCTTCACAGAAAAAAACCCCAACAAACCACTCAGGCCAGAATAGTCTAAAAACTCACTTATTCTCTTTTTGGGAAATATTTACATGTACTATACATGTGTAACCTGAAAGGAAACAAGTTTTGCTATGTGGTGATTCTTGGTGAACCTTTCCTCCCTGCCTCTCTTGCCTCTTTCCTTTCCACTCTCAAGTATCTGCTTTCATATATGAGATTAATCCATAACTTCTGTTGTTTACACATCCAGTTTTAGCTGTCAGAGTTGCATTTTGATTGCTAAAAATGTCTGAATTGCTATTGCTTTCTCTGTGGGTCTCTAATGGACAGAAAATGTTAAAGCAGGCTGTATTGATACCCCACACTGGGTACTTGAGAAATAACTGGAAAAGTGCAATAGAGGGGGTTAACCAACACCAGTGGTACTGGCCCCTGCTGAAGGCAGGACACTGGTTAGGCTACAGACCTAATCTAATAGATTGGCATCTTCTTTAAAGATGATAGCTGGAGACTGTGCTCTGTAGTAAGACTGTCAATAGACTTACGCTCCACTCAGCTTGAAAAAATATACTTGGGAGGTACGATTTTGTTCTGTCTTTGTTTAGTTGGTAGCAGCTTTAATACTCCATTACTTTCCTTTAATTACTCCCCTATCTCAGATAGATGAAAGCGTTAAACCATGTGCCAGCTGCTAGGGTTTCTCTACCCATCTTGTTCTGTCACAATAAACAAACATTGCTGCTTTTTGCCAACAGCTTACAGAAACTGATGCTGAAACATTTTACCTGTCGAAATGATTCTTCTTCTTGATCCTCCAGGACAGTGTTCTCATCAAAATCAATTACACGATCATACATTTGCATATTATACTCCTTCCAAGACACCAATCCATCACCATCTTTGTCATAGTCATTGAAGTGTTGCTTAGCTTCTTGCGTAACATAATGTTTAAAAGACTGCTGTATCCAGGAACTCAGCTCCTCTGTGAAAATCGTTAAAAAAATAATAAAATAAAAAAAATCAGAATCATCTGCACTATAAAAACTATAAAGATACCACAGGTCTATTCAGTCTGGAAGTACTACTCTGCAATTCAGATGTAAGCATATAGGCAAGAGCAAAACAATCTGTTTTTTCTATGCCATGGCTTTTTTCAAGTTAACTGAATGAGAGAATAGATCATAGCTACAGCCTTCAGTTTTTCTTTCATAGTACCATTTCCCCATTGATACCCTTAAGCTAGAGTTACATGGTTACTGGCCTATATTGGTGCTGCCAGAGTAAGTGTGATGTATCCCTCTCTGAAACACGTGGGATGTGGTAGGAAAAAATGATTACAGGTAGCATTCATACAGCTACATAGCAAAGTGGATCACTAAAAACTTATCCCGTAAGAAAATTCTTAGTTTTCAGCTGAGAACGTACCCTTATTTAGGTCACTGGGACCCGAACAATGGAAGCAGGAAGCCTGCCCCTTTTGGTGCCTGCTGACATTTATGTCAGCCTGAAATGATTACGTGGCTATGCCTTTCCAAATCTGAAGCCAATCAACACTGTAGCATCCCTTCACCTTTTTCTTCTTCAGAGCTTTATGAAAATGATACTGAATATGGTTTAGATAGACAACTCTAAACATAACTTTTTATCCCCCCAAAATATCATTCCCATCAGTTTTGGGTTTCTTTTGAAAAATCCACAAACTGAAATAAAAATAAATTCACTGCCACTGCCTTAATTACCAAAATGAAACATTAAGAAATATTTTCCCTTTACTTGGGGCTGAAATCAAGCCTTATATATTTTTGGAAATGCATTGAAGCTATTTGTTTTTATAGAAACATGGCTAAAAGAAAACTGAATATGCAGATGAATTCATACAAATACATTAAAGTTACTTCATTTAAAGATTGGGAGAACATATTCCCTCAGTATCACCCAGTTATTTTCAGGTGCCCAGAAAGGGAAGGCAACTTCCTCTGCATTGCAACATTATATAGCTAAATCAACTCAACTGAAATCCTGCTCTGAAGAGTCATGATGACTAATAAAAAAATCCTACAGAAATTACTACTTTGGTGTAGAAAAATCTTATAGCATTTTTAAATACTAAAGTATCTTATTCTGTCCTTCCTGGCAGAACTGTCAATACAACTTTACTAGGTTTATTTAAATATCTTTGAAAAGCAGCAAGAGATTTTTAAAAATATATTTTGAATACTGAATTTGTATTACCAAAGGAACCAACTTTGTAACAGATTCTGTGAATCGATTGAACATGTGGAGGCGTGCATGCCATGTTTTATAACCACTGAGGCTTGTGCACAAAACCAGCATTGCCTTACAAGAAACTGCAACATGATTTCTTAAAGATGGGTAACATATAATTTTTAGCATGGTTTATTTCCCAGCATTTAAGGCACGAGGCACAGTCATCTGAACACATAATGTCCAGTGCCACTAATCAGAAATACTTAATGCTCCAACATTAGAGAAGTGGTATTAATATTTATCACAAATTCTCTCACTGTTAGCCTCCAAACGGAGACGCCACTACTAAGGAAAAGTTCTCCAGGAGTGTTTTGCAATACACTGAGAAATAACTGAGCTGAAAAAGCTTCGATACCATAAGTTTCTTGGTGTAAAACCATATTCCACTGTGAGTTTTCCTTTGGGAAGTGAGGGGAGGGCAAATTTCCATTAGACTGAGAACCAGATGCAATATATACCATGAGGATGGAGTACAGGTGGAATTTCTACCCTTTAGATAGACTTCTGCCCTTACAGCCTTCACGTTGTGAACTGCTTGTTGTTTATTACAGGGGTTAGCCATCCTGTCAAAGTTATATACTATCTCATCTCTACACAGTCAGATGCAGGAACACTGAAATAAGTGTGCAGCTGATTAGTTTCAGCATATAAAGTGAAAGACATTCAAGAGATATAGTTGCTCTTGTCTTTAAACCATATTTTGTCCTCTCACCTAGAAAGCTTCCTGCATGTTTAGTATCATGTTAATGAAGTATCACTGTTCTGGTGTTTGAACAAGGATTCTATTTGCTCTGCGTGTGTGCATGTGAGACAATTTTGATTTTTTGTCAAAATCACAGCAAAACAGCAAAAATACATTTTCATAATGAGTTTTAAACTTAAATTAATAACGTGTCATGATCATGTACTGAAAGGAAAGGCCCGAGTTTACCGTGGAGTTCACGAGTCTGACTGATAAAAACCTGGCTGGGAAGAGACATTTGATACGATACTGTGATGAAACAAATATATGATTCCTCAGTGTCACTCGGTGTCACCAGGCATTGAAGTGCATATATGTAGTACTATGACTGCAGCGCACTTTCTTTGCCTCTTAAACTTGCTCTCCGAGTTGCACAAACAGGATTTCAAACACAGAAATCCCCTTGACTCAAAGTGGCTTCGGGCGTGCAAAGCTGGTACCTACAACTTAGTAATGCTCTCTTACCCACGCTAACTCACTCCCGTGTGCTCCTGTTGGCCCTCACTTCTTTCCTCACGTAAAACAGAAATCTTAGGGACCGAGACACCCTCTGTTGGCGTTCCTAACGCACTGTGCAAGCTGGTCGTTCTGTTTTCCATGGAGATTCCCCACAGCACAGGAGTCATCGGCGGTGTCACGGGGGGAGCGTATCTTTCCCTCTTCTGCGGGCGCGGGGCCAGACCCGGGACAGGGACAAAGCCCGGCCCCCGCCCGCTTGAACCCCCACGCGTGCTACCAGCTGGTCGCCGGGCCACGCAACCGCGGCGGTCCCCGGGCCAGCCGGGTGCCGGGCCGCCTCCCGCCGTTACCCTTGGTGAGGAGGCCGTCCGCGTCCGAGTCGATCTTCTTCACAATGGCCCTCAGCCGCCGCTGCTGCTCTTCCGGGCTGAGCCGCGCGTCCTCCTCCGCCTCCTCCTGCGGCAGAGGGAACCAACCGCGCGTCAAACCGCCGTCCCCGGACGCCTCAGACCCTTTCCCGGCCCGCCGGCGGCG